CTCCAGTTTTTTCATCATTTTCTGGCTGCTTTGCCTCAGTTCCCTGAACTTAGAGGGGTTAGACAGAGGAAGACAGGATGACTGAGTCTATCATCTGGCAGCAGAGCCGCAAGACTAAGTAGTTTTCAAGTATGTGACTTTGAACTTCACCCATACTTAACACATCTCTATGAAAGTTGGTCAGAAAGGAGATCAATGATCTGTTTTCCAATTGTGGATTGTATTTTCTTGAATTTTCTTTCAGTTAACCACTATGTCTTTCAGGTATTTTGCTCTAGAATTGAGAGCAGAATGAGCCTCGGCCAATGTAGCCTTTCCCAGTTTCAGTTTTGCAAAGTCTGAGTATTTTTCCAGATATAGCAGTGGAAGAAAGAAAGAAAATATATCAATACCCAAGTGCACATAAAAAAAAGATTTTAAAAGCTAAGAAGTAGATTTCTTGCATTAGTTTTATGGAAAGAAACTATTTAATGGCTCACAAAGCAAGATATTTGAAGTGAGCCCTTTTAATGTGTTACAGATAGTGTGAGAAAGTTTCATTTGTGAGTCATCATTGGCTCAATATATGATAATTCATAATGAAGAGAAATTCTTCTAAATATAATTAATGTGAACAAGAATCCAGCTAATACCTAATATACACCAGAGATTTTACATAAGAGAATAACGTTATGGCATTATTCAATGTAGAAGAGTCTATAGTCATCATCTCTTAACACAAGAGCAAAACCTTGGGGGAAAATACTTATATTAGTGTAATCATCGTGGGAAGCTTTTTCAGTCATTATTCATCCCTTCATCAACATAAGCAAATTTAGACTCTAGAGAAACCTTATGAACATGATGAATGTGGGCAAGAATTCATCATACAACTAACCTTTATAAATACAAGAGAATTCATGTGGGAGAGAAGTAACTTAATACGTGTAACCAGTGAAGAAGAACCTTCAGCCCAGATCTGAATTTCACATGCATGTGGGGGAGGGACTTTAAAACTAAGGCATGAAAGAAACTTCTTCGTAGCAAGAGAAAGGTTCTTCAGGAACATGAAAATATATACCAGAGAAACAGTTACAACAAATGAATATGGCAAGTCTCAAGCAAGCAAGCATTCTAAATGTGAGGAATGAAGAAAAGTCTCTAATGATCACTCATGCATTAGTCACATTAAAGTTCCCATAATACCTGTGTCAAGAAGAACTGTGGGAGTGCCTACAGCTGGGGCTAATCTCAGATGATCATCCAGGGAGAACAAGCGCTTAAGCTTCCTTTTGCACACAACTGAGCAAACAGATCACTTTTATCAAATGACATATTTAAACATATGTAGAATAAAGATGTAGTGTTATGACTTGTACTTAGAAATGTTAAAGCAGAAGTTGGTGGCGAGTAATAATGAGATGTGTCATATTCAAAATTTAACTCATCAAGAATGCTTAGTCAACTAAAGGTGTTGCTCAAAAGTTAAAAAAATCAGTCATTTTATCATTTCATGATCATTCAGTTTTCTTTTAATAATTTATTCTTGATAAGTTGTGATTTATTTTAATGCATTTAGTGTATATGATTTCAAAAATATTTGATGGTGCCAGATAATACCTTTTAATGTTTTTATATATTTATGTATATATTTTTATATATTTATGTATTTTGACTAGTGTTGGTATACAAGCTTTTATATCTGTTAGGGGTACAATTTCACACCTCTTCAAGACATGTTACCATATATACTCACCACCCAAAGTGCCAGTGTATTTCCATCATAACCTATTAGAATTCCTTCCTCTTCATCTTCTCCTCCACTTTTAATAACCACAGTTCTGTGAGTTTTTTGTTTCACTGGGGATTTTTCACGGGCTGGAGCACAGCGGGTAGGGCGGTTGCCTTATACACAGCCCACATGGCTGAGCCGAGTTTGATTCCTCCACCCCTCTCGGAGAGCCCGGCAAGCTACTGAGAATATCTCGGCCGCACGTAAAGGCCTGGCAAGCTACCCGTGAAGTATTCGCTATGCCATACACAATAATAAGAAGTCACACGATGAAGACGTTATTGGCCCTGCTTGAACAAATCAATGAACAACGGGAGGACAGTGCTACAGTGCTACAGTTCTGTGATCATAATCAAAGAATTTATTTTCCCTTATTTTTATCCTATTGCTTTGTTTCATAATATTGCTTTTATGAGTGAGATAACTCAGTATTTCTTTTTTTCTCCATATGACTTACTTCACATATCATGATTTCCTGCAGTTTCAAATTGTCACAAAAGGCAAGATTTTATTTTTATCCTCATAGGTGATTAGTGTTCCTTTGTGAATATTTACCAAATTTTCTTTCATCCATTCATTTATTATTGGACGTTTGAGTTATTTCCATATCTTGGAAATTGTAAATAGCACTGCATTGAATGTAAGTGTGCACTTACCTTTTCAGATTAGGTTAGTGTTTTTTAAATAGATTAGATTAGGGTTGTCTTTTGAAAATACACTTAGGAAAGTAATAATGGGATCATGTGACTATAAACAAGTGAGAGAGAAAAAGACCACATAAAGGGGAAATTCCAAATATAAGGACGTTTATTTAAAATTGTGTATGTCAATGGAATACTATGCAGCTGTTAGAAAAGGTGAAGTCATGAAATTTGCATACAAGTTTATCAACATAGAAAGTATCATGCTAAGTGAAAAGAGTCAGAAAGAGAGGAACAGACACAGAAAGACTGCACTCATCTGTGGAATATAAAGTAACAGAATGGGAGACTAACATCCAAGAATAGATGAAATAAGTACCAGGAGGTTTGCTCCATAGCTTGGAAGCTGGCCACACATGCTGGGGGAAAAGGCAGCTCAGATAGAGAAGGGAACACCAAGTAAGTGTGTTTGGAGGATCCGCCTGAGATGAGAGATGTGTGCCGATAGTAGCCCTGCCACAGAGGCCAGGCAGGTGGGGAGGGGAATGGGGAGGGTGTGGGTGGGAGGGATACTGGGATCATTGGTGGTGGGGAATGGGCACTGGTGGAGAGATGGTTACTCGATTATTGTATAACTGAAATGCAAGCACGAAAAGTTGTAAATCTACAACTGTACCTCGTGGTGTTTCACTAATAAAATTTTTTTAAAAAGAAAAATGTATAACCATATTAAAAATAAAATTGTACATGTATACATAGAGACATATATGCATGTGTGTGTTTGTGTTTTATTTGGGAGAGCATAACCAGTGATGCTCAGGGATTCTTTCTTCTTCTTCTTTGCTTAATGTAGGACTACTGCTATCATGGCTTATTTCTTACTCTGATCCAGAGTCATTCCTGGCAGGCTTAGGGGACCAAGAGGGTGCTGGGAGTTGGCCACATGAATGGCACATGTCCTATCCACTGTGTTATGGCTCCAGGCCCCTGAATTTTGTGTTTTTATCTTTAAAACATTCAATTATTTAGAGAAGTATATAGGTTTTACCTAATAAAATGCTTTAACCATTTTTCTTTTGGTGATGTTGGGGGGTGGTGGTCACAATGCAGTAGAAAAATGTGCCCGTACTCAAGACCTCTTTGGTAGTTTTATTTGTTAAACTTGCTCCCAGCACAAAAAACTTCTGCCAAAGCAAGGACACTATGTAACTGTCAGAAATATGTCTCCCAGAAAGGGATTCTCTTTTACTGCTGGTGGTAATGGCGACTGATTCAGCCCTTTTGGAAAACAGTATGGACGATTCTCAAAAAATTAGAAATTGAGCTCCCATTTGACCCAGCAGTACCACTTCTGGGAATATATCCCGGAGATGCAAAAAAGTATAGTCGAAGTGACATCTGCACTTGTATGTTCATTGCCACACTGTTTACAATAGCCAGAATCTGGGAAAAAAACGAGTGCCCAAGAACAGATGACTGGTTAAAGGAACTTTGGTACATCTACACAACGGAATACTATGCAGCTGTTAGAAAAGATGAAGTCATGAAATTTGCGTACAAGTGGATCAACATGGAAAGTTTTATGTTAAGTGAAATGAGTCAGAAGGAGAGGGACAGACATAGAAAGATTGCACTTATCTGTGGAATATAAAGTAACAGAATGGGAGAGGAACACCCAAGGATAGTGGAGATAAGTACCAGGATGTTTGCTCCTTGGCTTGGAAGCTGGCCTCACATGCTGGGGGAGAAGGTACCTCAGATAGAGAAGGGACCACCAAGTAAAGGGTGTTTGGAGGGCCCGTTCAGGATGGATGATGCGTGCTGGACGTAAACTATAGACCAAACATGATGGCCATTCAGTACTTGCATTGCAAACCACAACACCCTAAAGGAGAGAGAAAGAGGGAATGCGCCTGCCACAAAGGTGGGGTGGGGGGTTAGGGGGAGGATGGGAGGATACTGGGAACACTGTGGTGGAGAATGGGCACTGGTGGAGGGATGGTACTCGATCATTGTATGACTGAAACCTAAGCATGAAAGTTTGTGAGTCTGTAACTGTACCTCACTGTGTATCACTGTATCACTGTCATCCTGTTGTTTATCGATTTCCTTGAGCAGGCACCAGTAACGTCTCCTTCGTCCTAGTCCTGAGAGTTTAGAAAGTGCCACTTTCGAGGCTCTTTCAGGGTCGGGAGAATGAGACTCATCATTGTTACTGGTTTTTGGCATATTGAACATGCCACAGGGAATTTGCCAGACTCTGCCGTGTGGGCAGGATACTTTTGGTAGCCTGCCAGGTTCTCCAGAGTAAGAACTAGATAATAAGATGTCGTGCTTCTGGGAGCTGGGTTTTATAGTCTCTGGGTCTTGGCCATTGATGGGATTACATGGCACCGGGGGCAGTTGGTGGGTGTAATGCCTACATACTGGAAGATGGGGGATCTGGGTGGAGGAGGCCCAGTCCCAATCCGAGCAGGTGGTGATTCATTAAAAAATAAAAAATTTAAAAAAAAAGAAAAAATAGGTCTCCCCAGCTAATTGTGAATGAGTATAAACTTAAATTGTTACTTTTTTGTTTGTTTTTACAGATGAGGATGGACTTGGTATAAGTATTATTGGTATGGGAGTTGGAGCAGATGCTGGACTTGAAAAGCTGGGAATATTTGTCAAGACAGTAACAGAAGGAGGTGCTGCTCAGCGAGATGGCAGGTAAGCTAAGTACTTTTGTTATAGCTAAGTTAGGAAATTTTCTTGGGAATTTCCTTAGTAGTAAATTTTTTCTTTCAACTTTTAGAACAGAATTTCAGGCTACGTCTTATGTGTAAAATTGTTTTTAAAAATTTCAATTCTTGGGGGCAAGAGCAATAGTACAGCAGGTCTGGCACTTGCCATGTACACAAATGACCCGGGTTTGATGTCTGGTACCCCTTATGGTTTCGCAAGCTCACCAGAAATGATCCCTAAGCATAGAACAGGAGTAAGCCCTAAGCACTGCCAGGTGTGGGCCCCCCACCAGAAAAATATTCAGTTACTTTATGTTGAATAGAAAGAATAAGAATTTCACAACAGAAATAAGGAAAAAACAAACACAATGGGGTACTTTTGGAAATGACATTGTTTAAAAAAAAAGGAATAGAAACCATATTGATAATTCTGTGGGTCAGTGTGTCTCAAAGTGTTTTTTGTTTGAAAATACAGATTTGGGATCACAAAAAAAAATCAGAACATTTGCCCATACTCTTCTCTCTATAATAGTTTGGTTAAAATTATGTATACTTATTGATATAAACTATTTTATTACAAAATTATAAATAGTATGACTAGTATAATACCTCTAATATGTTAGTATTCTGTAGAGAATATGCAATCAAAGATAATTTTAAGACTTCAACTTAAGATTGCAGCTCAATTTAAGATTGCAACTCACAATGACAGAGTCCTCAGTGTGATTTGGAATAGTTACTCTTCAGACTTTGATAACCAGTTATGAGGAAAAATTAAATTCTGGATTAGATATCCTTTATAGCTTATTTTAATTTTGAAAGAATAAATGGTATCTCTTTGTAACTTACTTTAGATTCCTTAAAAATAAACTGTTTTGCTTTAATTTATGATTTGCTGTTACTTCCTTCAACTTATATAAAATAGACAATTTTTATATCTGTTTCCTCCCCTCTTCTCTCATCCCTTTTTCTGATTTTGCTCAAAAAAATATTTAAATGATTGATTTTTATTCTTCAATTGCTTTCATAAATCTTCACCATAGTATGAAGAATTTTTTTAAATGACTATGGTTATCTCTAGTGTAGCTAATAAGTGTTAAGTTTTTGTTAATCTCTTATATTATGTTCTATGTTCTAAATTTCTTTTGTCAAGCTTACTGTCTTTTCATATGATGCCTAAAAATGAAGGGATGCTTAAATTTTATTTAATGAGTAGAGCTCGTGTTTAATTACTTTCAAAATGTGTTCTTGGGCTCAATGCCTTTTTGTCTTTCTTTCTTTCTTTCTTTCTTTCTTTCTTTCTTTTCTTTTCTTTCTTTTTTCTTCCTTCCTTCCTTCCTTCCTTTCTTTATTTCTTTCTTTTTTGTTCTTTTTGATCTTGACTTTTTTTCTCCTTTCCTTTTTCTTTTGCTTCTTCCTTCCTCCTATATTCTTTATTTTCTCTCTTCCATCCTCCTACCTTTCTTTCCTTCAATTCTTAATTCATATAAGAGGATACATTATAATTTTTACCTTGAGAAGCATTTACTTTTATGACCTAGTTATAAGTTTTTGGTAAAATGCAATTAAATTTAAATACAAATTAATATCACATTAAATATTAACCAATTAATAAATATTATATTTAATATATTAAATTCTTTTATAGAAATTTTAAATAACTTTATGATTATATACAGTATTCTTTTTTACACAGCACACTTTGGCATAATTATATTTTCCTTTCCACTTCCATAATTCTATAAAGCAAAACAAATTTATTTTATAATAACAAAATGCTTATGATAGAATCGCATGGATCACTGATTAAAGATATAAATATTTAACTGGCATAGGTTAGTGGTAATGCTGATAATGTGATAATGCTGATAATGCTATATTAAAGAAACAAATTAAAATAGGATTTTGGCTTTAACTTTTTTCTGATTCATTATCTCTCAAACTTTGTATATCATCATTTTAGAATGTTGTTACATATTTTTGCTTGCTAGAAAAGACATAAAGTATGTACTAAATCTTTGTAGTTTTTAATCTTTGAAGTCGTTGGCTTTCAAATAATTTTCTTTTTTTTTTACTATCTTCAGAGTAATATCAACATCCAAAACTGATAAACTGTTATATTTATCCCTGAGTAAGCTCTCCCTTCTGCAGACTACTCAGGCTGTATGTCTGAGGTGCATTCAAACCTAGGACAACCCTGAATGTAAACTGTTTTTTCAGTTGTGTACATCTGTCATAATTCCTTAGTTAATAATTTCCTCTATTTCTCCATGAACATACTCTTATAACTTTCTTCCAACCAAATATTGTGCAAGAATTCTTTATGCCTTAGGGACTTGAGCTGTCACTGCTCTGAAATGTATTTTCATATATATTTAAAACTTCACTAACATTTGTGGAACATCTTTATTGACCAAAGTTCATTAATGTTGTTCCAGCTGGTCTGCTTTTTGTTCTCATCAATTGCTTTGACATAAGCTCTATAAAGTAGATTTTTTGTTTTTGTCAACCATTTCATCCACAACAATAAAAAACAATCTAGTAATATTAAATGAATTCTGGATTTATCTATGTTTGTTAGTCTTAATTCCACTGATGTTTAGATCTTTTTATTCAGAATTCAGGAAAACCATAATGATCAGACTAAAACTGAAGAGAAGTATTGTTCCACTTTTTTTATTACCACATGGAAACAATTGAGGAAATGACCAGGACTCTATGCCTTTTACAAACTAGCCAGGTGCATTCCCATAAATCCCACTGCAACAGACAGTGTTTCCAGGGAATAACAGATCATTTCCTCTTCTTTTCTGGAAAATTCTGATTATCTGTAGAACTGATTATTCGTTGTACTCTGAAATGATTTGATGCATAGAGCTGTTTAATTTTGTTTTGTTGTTCTTGGGTTACACCTGGCCGTGTTCAGGACTTATTCCTGGCTGTGAGCTCTGGGTTCGCTCCTGTCAGTGTTTGGGGGATCATATACAGTGCCAGGTATTCAACCCCGGTTGGCCCATGTGAGACAAGTGCATTTTCTCATGTATTCTCTCTCCAAATCCTGTTTATTTCTATATTGCCATTAGGAATCAGCTCTTGACTTTTCTCTGCTTCTAATTAGGTATCCCAAAAGATTTCCACTTACATTCTGTGCGGCTTTATCAGAAGTTACCTTTTCAGACTCAGAGATTTAAACAAAGTAGAAGTTACATGCAAAAACAAAACAAAACGAAACAAAAACTCAGAAATACCCCTCCCAATGCTTTACCTACTACAATGTAAAAATATAAATAGCCATTTTAATTTTTAAGTACCCACCAACTTATGATTCTAGTGAGAATTTTATAGGGTCAGTTTGTGGTTGCAGTAAACCAAAATTACTGTCCCCTTTCCAACCAATTATTATTCCTCTCATCCCCTGGACAATACTAATTACTTCTCTCAAATTTAGAATTTTTTCACTTTGTCCCCATTGTAGTCACCATCCAGTCTATCACTTTGAAGAGAGAAGTTGAAATGCCTTCCAAATAAAATGGTGAACTCAATGGAAATGCTCTTCCTTCATCCCTTCTAACTCATTTTAAAATCAAAGGTGGAGGGTTAGAGATATTTTACAGCCAGTAGGGAATTTGCTTTGCACACAGCTTGCCCAGGTTCAATCCCTGGAACCTCATTTTATCTCTCAAGTCCTGCCAGGAGCGATCCCTGAGCACAGAGCCAGGAGTAAGCCCTCAGCACTTCCAGGTGTGACCCAAGATAAACAAAAAGTGATTTTTTTTCAAAAATTTGTATCATATTTTCATACCTTTTCTTCAACTGAATGTATCATTTTTCTTGTGAAAAAAAGATTTTATAGAAATGTTCTCCTAAAAAAATAATATTCAAGTAACATTGAGTTTTCTCTTTTCACTTAATATACTTGATTGACTCAGGCAAAAAGTTATGTAGAATCAGGAAACTGCATTTTAATCATGGAGTGTTCTTTATTATACTGATCTCTGAATACAAAGAGCAAGTCAGTAGAAAGTCTGTTTACTGTTGGAATGCTTTATAGCTTGGATCTCTTCTTTATTTTCAGTGACTATTTCCAGGGCTCTTCCTGCCTTTTTGGAAACCCATATTTCCATGTAGGATCAGTTTCCTTCTCCCTGAGGGACTTCCTTAATATTTTACCACTGTTTCTGCTGGTGATGAATTATTTTAGCTGTGTGTCTGGAAAAGTATTTGTTTCACCTTTGTTTTATTTTAAATACATTTTTCTCCATGTGTATAGAATTCCAAGTTAACTTCTTTTTCATTGAGAATTTCCCTCCAGACCTTTCTTTCCTGTTTTTAGGCATATGGGTTTGTATGAACATAAGTATGTGTACACAAATGAATTAAAAAGTTACAAAGACATGTAAAAACTGTTTGTCTACTTATTTAAATTAAATAAGTAAATAAGTATATGAGGATCATTGTAAACTTTTTTTCTGAAAATAGAACTTAGGGATCAGAGAGTACAGCAAATGAAGAGTTTGCCTTACTTGCTGTCTATGGGGGTTTGCTCCCCAGCACCACATAAGGTCCCCTGAACACTGCCAGAAGTAATACCTGATTACAGAGCCAGAAATAAACCATGAGCACAACCAGGTGTGTTCCCTAAAGAAAATAGAAAATCAAATATGTATATATATGTATAATATATGTGTATATTACAGAAACTAAAAGTTTTATGTGTCATTTCTTTTTGTCCCTTAAAATTTTATCAGGCAGTTGTTTTGATTTTGCCTTCTATATCTCAAAGCCTTAAATCAGGAATCTTTAGTCTATTACTTTATTTTCAGGTGTGTGTGTGTGTGTGGTGTGTGTGTGTGTGTGTGTGTGTGTTTTAATAAGTAAGAAATAACTATAAATCTTCAGTCTAAAGAAAACTTTTTGTACAACTTCCCCAATCATTAAAAAGTGCTATCATCAATTATATAGCTAGCATGTGATATTATACAGAGA